CTCCTCCGGCTTATCCTGGAGGAATGGGTGGACCTCCTCCCGCGTATCCAGGAGGAATGGGCGGTGCTCCCCCCGCTTACCCCGGAGGAATGGCCGGTGGAATGGCCCCCGGTTATGCCGGAGGAATGGGCGGCGCTCCTCCAGCGTATCCCGGAGGAATGGGTGGTGCTCCCCCTGCATATCCTGGAGGAATGGCCGGTGGCATGGCCCCGGGTTATGCCGGAGGAATGGGCGGCGCTCCTCCGGGCTATCCGGGAGCTGGCATGGGCGGTGCTTACCCCGGCGGCATGGGCGGCGCCTACCCTGGGGCAGCCGGCGGCATGGGCATGGGCATGGGCGCGGGAATGGGCATGGGCATGTACGGCCAGAAGCAGAACAAGGGCATGGGCATCCTGCCCGTGCTGGGCGCGGCGGGCGCCGGCGCGCTGTTGGGCTACCAGGGCCACAAGATGATGCACGGCCTCACTCACCATCACCACGACCACGACCGCAGCGGCGAGATGGCGGGCGCCGACGGGGACGGCGAGACGGCGGACGGCGACGCCAACGCCAACGCGGACTCCGGCACGGCGTCGACGCTGCCCGTCGACGCGGCGGAGGCCGCCGCCGTCACCACCCTGGAGCCCGAGGCCAACCCTGCCGACCTCGCCCCCACCACCAGCTCCCCGCTCTTCACCTCGGAGCAAACGCCCGCCATGAGCTCTTAGCCGCTTTCACTTCCCAACTTCTCATATTTGCTATGTATATAAAAACTCGTATAAATAAATGTATATTATGTTATTGGGCTTTCTTATTTTTCCCCCTTTCCGATCAGAGTATCTAGGCACCAAGTGTTAGTTTCAATTCTTCGTTCTTTTCATGTTTCCTATTACTATTTTTCCAACATTCTTTCACTATTTCACTGTTTCTCTTTCTCTCTTCGGTCTACTTACTGCAGGATTCGTTTCGCTATTAAATTTTTAACACCCTCTTTCTAAATATGATTCATTCTGATTCAAATCCCTATGATTTTGATAAGAGGTCTTGAAATTTTCGGGGTACTTCAAATGAAGACCCTGGGACGTTTTCAAAATTTTCTCAAAAAGGGCTCCAGTTTTTTTCTTCAAATTTCTCCTAAGAGTAGAGTGAAAATAACTAATAATGATGAGATTAGTCCCATTTACATTGTTAACTCTGAATTTTCAAAAATTACAAAAGTTTTAATTGTTTGGATTTCTTCATACATCTACATTATTGAAGATAGAGATTTTTTTCATTAAATGAAATTAGTTCATCACAATATGTTCTTTAATTAATGCCATGAACTGTTGTTAGTTTTAACTCATAACAAGTTAAAAATATTTCTTTTAATTTCTTGTTTTGGTAGGGCATAATGCACTAATTAACATGACACAAGCCTTTTTGATGTAACCTTTTCATTTATCAAAATTTACACCAATGTCCTTAATTTTAAATATTTCTCATATCATTAATATTTACATTACATGCATTTTTGTGTCTATTATTGTATTTGTGAGTAAAAGTACTTCAAATTATTTCTTATAAAGTTTCTTGAAAACTCCAAAATGTTTGGTGAAAATGAGTTCAATATTGCATAAATTGCTCAATAATTTGCTCAAACTTTTTGTCGAACTTTTTATATGAAAATTTTCGTACAGAACTACTATTTTGTGACCATCTAAGAAATACATAATTGAATTTGAAGCACATCAATGACTGCAAACATTTTTTGTAATTTTTTTAAAGATCTAATAATTAAAGTTTCTCATCTCTGAACATACCAAGTTTCTGAGTTTCTAAACATGCCCAGAATATTCAAACCATTTTGACCTCAAATAATTTGTATGTCGTTTTTGACATATCCCAAGAACATGTTGAACTAACAACATGAAATCATCCTTTTATGTCACCAGAACATACAGCTTTTTTGTGCTTCCATGTGAAAAATAGAAATCTGTTGATTTTAGTTAAAGTGAGCTACGATAATCTTTGCTTGAGAAGATGACTAAAATTTGTTAAGAATTTTGGACTCCTGGGCTGAACCACAATCAGCATGTATAATAAGACAGACAAGGACTTACAGCATAGTCTTAGTGATGTGATGAAATGCCTCAACTGCACACTTTTGACTGGCCAAAGAAGCATGGAAAGGATGCGATACATTTTGAGGAAAAATAAATAATTTGCTTGTAAGCATTTTTCCCTAATTCTATTACATACATTTCATATACTCTGCATGATATCAGATAGCTTTGAATGTGGTTATTTTTTAGTTGTCAGAATTGAAGAGGAATTAATAATAACAAATCATAAAACAACAATACATTTCTCAAAAACATTTATTGAATCAAAATGTATGGAGGTACTTTAAAGATAATCCACCACTACTAGAAAATAAGGGATTATAGTTTGGAAAAACAATAAACAGAGGGGCATTATTATATGTTGCCCTGGCCATTGTTGCTGATTTTCAGAGATGTCTTCAAAATCTAATGGCTATTTGTAATAACTCAGCTAAGTTAGCTCACATATTCTATTTAACTTTTTAGCTACTTAATTACTATACTTTTAGCTAGGGGACTAGAATCTTACAAAGATATTTGCCTAAGTCAATAATATTTAACTTTTAAACAATTATGTTAATTTGCAATAAACCAAACAAATAATTTTCACATATATTGTAAAGGCAAAGGAAGAGAATAAACTGTGTGCGATGGAGTTTGTGATGAATATTCATGCCAGTCTATGCCTTGATTGTTCTCAATGTTTTCTTCCCAGGTGTCTTTGTCCATATAATTGATTATTCCATTCCAGATCTGTGAAAGTAAAATTTTATTGTAGGCTAATCTTATGCTATTATAACCATAATGAGTAACGGACAGTACATACTTTGAAACTGTGTGTTATCCATCCAATTTCGAGTACATTATTTTGTTGTTCTGCTTTATGCCAAGCATCTCTTAGTAAGTCAGTGCTTTTCTCTTTATTGTTTAGAGCACTAAAGTAGTAGGCTTTTAAGTGAAGATATCTGAAAAATCCCAATCATTATATCTGATAACTTGTTGCAAAATCATTTAGGAACAAAACATTATATGCTTATTTATAAATTACAATGAACTGACCATTAAAACTCAATGATAACCCAATACAACATTTAAATGATGTTTAGAGATGTATGCATGCTCTAGCCCTATTGTAGAGTAGTTTGTTGGAATTATGTGATTATACTATGAACAGTTGGCGTTAGGGTTATTTTTTCCAATTTGAGTGACTGAAAAATGTTTGAGTAAATACATATCAACAGTCTATTCAGTGATTTTATTTAGATTGTTTTGAAGGTTTATCTACAACTGTTTGGAGGTTTCTTTAACTTTTGGGATCAGCAAACCTGGTATTTTCCACATTTATAAGAATGTGTTCAGGAGATCCATAAGAAAGGATCCAGAAGAGTTTCAGCACTAAGTCCTGCATTTTTTAATGTGCATCACACTAGATAACGATTCATGCATATTGTCTCTGACCTTAAAGACTTCATTGAAGATCTCTTGAAATTGATATTTTGATAATTTGTAATTTGTATAATTGATAATTTGTCTATGTGACTTCATCACCCGAGTTTCTGTTTACAATTTATCTGTTTAGTAATAAACACTTGGATTCAAGTGTGCAGGTGTGAATTAACACATAGGTAGACAAAATGCAAACTTGATTTAGATTTATTTAGTCAAAAAATATAGTAAAAACTGTATGTGATGAATGGGAGAGAAGATCATCTGCGCACGTTTTCTTGAGTTCCAGCATCCCTTCCCGTCATTTTAGCTACAAATTGTTGAAAGATGAGTAAAAGTTTAAAATAAATAAATAAAGTTTAAAAAAGCACAAGATTAGCAATATTGAAAAAAACTAGTTTCATTCCCAAGTTGTAGAAAACATATTTGCATCAGTAAACAATTTGCAGGTATGATTTTTTTGCATTGCTAATAAAAAAGTAACCCACCCTTACCTCTACTCCTACCACTACAAGCAAAAGGAGAGTTCAACAAAACATGCGCATAGTGAAGCTACATACAAGGGGCCATCATTTGCTCAATGAATCAGGGAAACTGGACATAAACCTGATTGAGATGGGTTGTCTGTTACTCTGCACAGTAGTTTGTGTGCAAAAGTGATGTAATGCATAAGTGTTCATTTAAAAAATCATGAAGGGAATGTTTTAATGAATCAGTGAATGTTTTATGCATTTACAATGACACACTAAAACAAAGTTTTTATTGTTTAATCAGTTCATAACAAAATTCACTACTGCAGTGGGCTCTGCTTTTTGAACTCTGAAAATTACACAGATCTGCAATAACTTCCTCAAACTTTCAAAACTGATGATTGGAAGATTGAACTAAAGATTACATTTCCTTGTAAAATAAAGACTTTAAATTTATTAAAATTATAAATTCCATTGAATAAGAAAACATTTTCATACACATTTTTGAGAATTTTTTAAACATTAGGCCATTAACCCCTTATTTGTAAGTCATTTTATAGGCAATTTTCAAAGAATTTTTAAGTCATCAGGATCCGAGTGCTGCTCTTTACCTATTGTAGAGCATTAGACGCAAAAAAAATAATTCATTTAAAGGTAATATATCAATATAAATTCGTCAGTACAAAACTTCATTCCACACACCCAGAAACACCAGCCAACAATTGAGAAGATATTCTGAGAATTTTGAACTGCCTTATATTGTTGTTGTATTGCAAGCTGATCTAACTCCCGAAAGATTGTAGCAAAGAAGTATGGAAAATTCAAATATGGAATTTCTAAAAGTTACAAAACTTCTGTAAAAATACTCATATTTGTTAAAAGATGTATATGACATTTTTTAACGAAATAATTTTTTAGAACATTTCTATAAGTACAAGATCTATTATCAAATTGTAGACTTGCAATGTTAATTTTTTCAGTTTTCAAAAATATGTTAGGTTCACAAAAAATAGAACCTGCAACATTCTTATCTCAGTAGTTTTATCTATTCCAGAAAAAAAATTAAAGAAAAAATTTGAATCAATTTTTGAAGAACAATTATTTAAAAATTGCCAATATTTCAAGCCAAATTACTAGAAAGCTACTAAGATTTTGAAAAATTGTTGATGATTTTACTTAAATATTCAACTTTCCAGAACAGATATCATTAAGAAAAATGTCTGTCTTTAATATTGTAGTTGTAGGAGACACTGAAAACCAATTTTAACTTTCATAATTTTAAAAAAAGTAGTAAATTCAACAAAAATGAGACAAGTGTCATTGTTGTAAAAAATTTTATTCTACCTGTTGAGAAGAAATGGTGCCATTTTTGAGAATATTTGGAAAATGTTAAGGCTTCTTGTAAGTACCCCCAAAAATAAAGATATCTGCTTTAATTTGATTGGATTGTGACATCTAACAGATTGATGAAGGAATACCAATTTTGGCAAAAATTCTGCTTACAGTTTATCTGTTGGCATTGTTCAGAGAAAAATGGACAGACAGATATTTTGCTGCATCAAGGACCCACAAAACATGCATTCTGTCTAACACAAGGTGTTAGAGGATGTAATTTACTACAAACTGGAACAAGATTTCTTTGTATCAGAGCCCCACAATGTGAGTTCGTCTGTCAATAAATTGCTGTTTTTCACCGCAGTTTTGCTATATTTTCTTTACGTTAGTAGAAAGCAAGAAAGTAAAAATCCAAACACTAAAAATCAGTTCAAATGTTTTAATAATGTAATTTTTTAATTCATATTTATTAAAACACTCAAAAATGCTCAATGCAAAATCTCAAGGAACCAGTATTTTTTTCTGCATTGGACAAGATTCCACAACTGCAGTATAGAATGTAAGCTGTCGAACAACTGCTATAGAATTTACGTTTGCTAGGATTGCAGTTCATGTACAAGTTATATCAAACTGGTATTTTTAGGCATCATATTTGCTGTTTTTTTTCTTCCCAAAAACATGAAATATGTTCATCATTAAATTTTAATGACTATATTAAAGAAGTAAAATAGACATTTGCCTAAAAACCATTAGAAATAGTCAAAACTGACCTAATAAAGATGTCTGCTACTGAATGTTTTGATATTACTAAAATATTTCTTTAAAAAAGGTGAAGCAATAAAATAACTAAAATCTTCAAACCTTGGCTGAATAACATTCATAGTATCTGCCATTTTGTCTAATTTTTTTATAATAGAGATCGCAGTGAATCGCAGAAATTTCTTGTGTTCACGATGTTTTTTCTTTTCTAGCACAGTAGATAATAGAAGTCCCTCTAGATAACGGAGAGCTGTGAGGAGACTTGAAAAAGAATCATTGTCTGTAATATCTATATTTTGTGCAGACATTCCTCCCCACAATTTGCATTCTTCTTCTTTGTGCCTAAAAACACCAAAAGAAGCATTCTAGCAATTTATAATGTGTAACTTGAATATTTGTAGCATTAACTTAAAAACTATTTAATCAGATTGAACGAATAGAAATATTTATCCCTAAAATTTAGAAGAAAACATAGGATAATTTGAGTAGTTTTTTAAATATTATAATTTAACACTTGCCTTTGTTAGAGTTTATTACAAACTGTAACAAATTTCAAAAATATTTCAAATATCCTAATATATTGTTAACAACTCTTACATTTCCAGTAGAATTTCAAAACAATGATTCAATATTACATATAAAGAAATTTTTTCATGGGTTTGTTTCATCTACATCTCAACTAATTACATGATATATAAGGGTAGTAATAGGAAAAAGGTAGACTAATTTGTTTCGATTAATTTAGATGTAATCAAATTATGTACTTTTTCATTAAACTGAATTAACCTAACTGTCTGCATAAACAAGTGCATATTTTTCCATTTATGAAATATGAATAGTACACACTAAATTAGACAAAAGAAATGTAAGAAACTTACCAACATACATGATATTCATAGATTGTGAAAAGGATTATAATATGGTGAAAAGGGTTAAACTGTATAAGAAGAATAAGAATAAGGAATACCAGAGGAAATAATCAATGGAATAAAAACACTTTATATGGATTCAAAAATTACCACAGAAATGAATAATGGGACCATCAGAAAATCGCTTCATACAAACAGAGGAATAAGACAGGGATGCAACCTATCACCCAACCTTTACAATATTTATGCCAACAGTCTCATCAAACAGTGGAAGAAGTCAGTAAATCAAGGTATACAACTTAACAAAAAACAAACTATACAAACAATTCGGTTTGCAGATGGCCAAATACTTTTGCCTGAATTAGAAGATGAACTCCAAACATAAATGCTTGAACTGAATAACAAAGACGTTTGACATGAAAATCTCAACAAAAAACAACAAAAACAATGGCATTCCAAGGAAAGGAACTAAGAAGAGTGAAGATTGTCATTGAAGGGAAATAATAGAGGGAAAGGAAATAATATCAACATTCAAAAATTTAGGCAATAACATTGGACTACACTACCAGGATCTCCAACAAAATTTTGAAATAGAATAAATGGAATAATTAAAAGACACTTTGGAAAGGACATTACCCAAAAAAACAAATTAAGACTATCTAAGACTTGAAAGTATCAAACATGTTTTGAAAATGAGGTTGCATTGCAAGATGTCAAAATTCCAACATGTTTGAAATTTTAAGCAAAAAACAACAACCAAACAATTTAATTAGAAACAGACCTACAATATATTTACCAAAACCCTCTACATCATCAGTTATTGGTGAATGAAATATCATCTGTATTATTACAACAGAACTACAAAATTATTGTAATTGACCTTCTGGAAAGAGTCTACCCTACGCTAAGAAATATCATACTCAGCGCCAGCTCAAGAGGAGGAGAGTGTGGTGAGAAAGGTGCTTCTGTCATGGATTCCAACTTGTTTAGGGGGATCCCACCTGTCAATTCATGGAGGAGGCCCACTCTTCCAGGGGATCCTCGTCATTTCCAAAGGAACCTGATTTATAGAGGAGTTACTCTGAGAAGAGACTGGTGCGACAGGTCGGGAAAGAAATGAACGATTAAATGTGATAAGTTAAAGGTGTTGTCTGGAATAAAAAATGTATTTTGTCAATGATCGTTTTGATTGCATAGCGATCATCATCAGAGCTAAAATTAGAATTATCGAAATAAAATTATATTAATACATAATATAACAACATACAATTATAAAATATATTTTATATTAACTTATCCCTATTTTTTTATTATTCATGTATTAACATAATTTTATTTCGATAATTCTAATTTTAGCTGTAAGGATGATTGCTATGCGATTGAAACAATCAAATCAAATATCAAAATAAATTTTTGATACCACACAACACCTTTAATTTACCTTATTTAATTATTAGAAGGTATCTACCTCACCACCAATCTAATTAACAAGTAAATGACTTGTAGGGTAGGTAACTATTAAATGTAAAGGAAATAAACTCAATAGAGGAAAATGTAAAGCAAAGTTGTCCAACTGGTGGTCCACAGGTGTGAAAGTTCCTTGCATCCATTTCGAGCAAAAACGTAGCATGCCTAGGTCACACATCTAGATGGGATCAGTATCCTCTTAATGTAAAAGTAGGTTCAAGTTTAGATTTAAGAACTTTTTCTAATAAATTTGGAATTTCAAAATTATCTTAATGTGTTCACTGTGTTATGCAAAGTATGGCCTGATATAATTATTGGTTCCATTTTGCCCTCCCCCATTTCAGAGCAGCCAGATAAACTTCCAATATGAACAATATGGATAAGTCAGATGTGGTTTACCTGAGTAATGTAAATATGGCAATAAATGGTAATAAATAATCATCATCATATTAAAGGTTTTTGTTGTGGCCCTTGAGACCTTGCAAGTTGGACACCCTTGATATAGGAGAGAGAAAAAGATGGAAAAGAAGAGCTAAGAAACATTGCCTAATGTGAACCACTCAAAAATGAGTGAATGAAAAATGAAATGTATTTATTTTTCAGAAAATTTGAGTGCACAAAATAATGCTGTTTATAAGTTAAATTTTAAACATACAAATTTTGATGTGTGTTATCAAAAAACATTCATTGAACCATTGATGTGTGGATAAATATTGAAAAAATGCCTGTCAAAAAATTAATTTTGTAAGATACATTTATTAATGCATAGACAGAGATTAAAATCATGTTAGAAAATTGTTTATTTCTTAGTGCAAGTTGTAACTTCTGTAATGATTATCTCCAGAGGGAATCAAGTCACTCTCAATTAGTAACCATTAAGAATAGTTTGTATCTCCATGTTTGCAATTCATCATATATATTTCACATGAGATTAAAAAAAATGTATTACAGAGGATGCAGAAACTTGTTTGATTAGAATTGAAATTATTGAACAATAGTTTGAGTATAATGCTTTGAAAGAATGAAAACAGATTCAGATTGTGACAGAATTGTTATATATATTTTCTTGTTCCTGAAAATTTGATTTTTGAGATCCAAGGGTTTTACCATCTCATAAATATTTTTTCCTTATATCAAAAACTGATCAAAGTCTATGAAGACAAAGACTCTCTATAATCTGTACTATGGCTAAGAACAAACATTTAAGGTACTTACAAGCGAACACTCCAAACCCACATGTTCACCATTAACCTTTGAAGAGATGCCTTGTCACGAAGAATAATATTTGAAAAATTTGCATCATATTTTTTTAATAGTTGTTTTGCATAACTTATGGTTTTCTCATATGTTTCAACAACAAACCCAGTATCTAATAATATATCTAAGCATAGAGCATAATACCATATTTCTGAAGATTTATCAATGTCTTGTTGTGCTTCAAATAAAAGAACATTTAGCAAATCAACAGCGTCATGCAAACCATAAGTCATGACCTGGAAAAGTTTTATTTATTTATTTATTTGTCAAATGAAATGGATGTATGTTCAGATGTATGTATACATAATTTGGGATACAATATATGGAGGAAAATTATTTATAAATCAAAGGGTAATATTACTGAGTAAAGCTTTAATATAACAATTATAAGAACAATATTTAAGTACGGTAACTATCTAGTAGTTTTAAAAAGTAATATAATCATACCAAAGCTTGAATAAGTGTTGGAATGACAGTAAGTTTGATGAAATTGTTACAAATATGTTCACTCATTTTAAGAATTGTGAACCCTGCCTTTATACTAGATTTCAGTTCTCCTCGCAACAATCTGTACATAAAGAATATTGTATTAGTTATCTTCTTGATTTAAACAATTCTTTTCATGAAATATATTTATAAATATTACATTTTATTATCTATTAGGTAATTTAATGATTTTAGCTCAGAGTACCTAGAAATGGAAGTAGCCCAATAAAGCTGGCAAAGAGATAATAGTTCCTTGGCCTGTGATCCAGTAAACAAAGTTTTGACAGATGCTAATGCAGAATCTTCAAGTTTCTTATTATACTTTAGTCTTCCAAAATGATGGCAGATTTCCATCACATTGGAATATGCTCCACATAATTCACAAAGATCATTTGATTTTTGTGCAAAATTTAGGCTTAGTAAAGAAGCAGTTTCAGCTCTTAACCACTTTTGCTTCATCTGCATAACATTAATTTGAAATTTTAATTAGCATCAAAATATGTTCATATATTTTAAGAAAATGTATTTAGATACTTAATATGTTTACTGTTTATGAATTTAAAAATATATGACATTCGTTATGAAAAGTTAACATAATTATTTTGTCTTCTCACCATATAAACATTTGCTAGATGTGAGAATGCAGAAGCCTTTTCTCGAGATGTTACATCATGACTTCTTGGTAAAAAAATACGAGGAAGTTTCATTTTCAACATGAGATAGGAATATTGCCAAGGAATAAATATTTGAGCAGCAAATTTTGATTTTGGAAAGAATCCACCAAATTTCTGTACTGAGGCAAGGAGGTGTTCTTCCGCTTCTGGTAAATTTCCAAGATCAAGGTGAGCTTGCCCTGTTAAAGAAAATCTTTGTATAATGTAATTGCATATATGGGAATTGTATACATTTGATTACAATTGTACCCATTATACCAAACAGATAATGTAACTACATACCTAGCAGCATATAAATGCGTCCTAAATCAAATCTTTGTGCTGCTTTTCGAATCTGTCGTTCTTCTATTTCATTCTGAAACATGAAAACAATTTTGTTTAAAACTAGATCTTTTAGAAAAATACAATAATATTTTATAAGGCTCTTGCTTGTAAAGATGCAAGTAAGCAAAAGGAAGGAAAGTTAATATCATAAGACACAATTATAATTGTACAATGAACAACCTCTTCCTGGTGCATTTTGAATTTCATAGCTGAGTATATTTAGTTAAATACCTCTGCTAAATGTTTTGCCGCATGTAGTAAAGTTACTGCTTGAATATTGTTCCCAATAGTGTTAGAAATTGATCCTTGTTCAACAAGGAACTTTACTTGTTTTAATTTCAATCCTGAAAAATGTTTTGAAGTAATCAGAGAAGTTATGTGAAACTAAATTTTTCACATTCTTTTCATAATGAACCTTACCTGCTGAAGCACAATGATATACAAGTTGCTGATAGGCATCATATTGAATGTAGGGACATTCACAATTCCGAAAATCTTTTACTTTTGACTTTTCATTAAAAAATACGTATGAATCACTGTCATCTTCACTCTCTTTGCTATGATGGGATGATGATTCCCCAAACAGTTCTGAAGTACACATTAGATTCTGTTTTATTAAACAGTTTAATTCAAACTTTTTGAGTAAAATAAAAATTTACTATAGTTCAGTATTTCGCCTTGGTAATAAAATTATCACTTATAATATTACCTTGGTCTACATGCTCTTCATTGCCTTCATAGCTTGGCTTATCACTATCTGCACTTATTTCCTTATCTAATGAACTTTCATTGGGATGAACATTTTGATCATAGTTTTCCTTGAAGTGAAATTAAAACATTTATAAATAATGCAAATAATACTGAGAATACAATATTATTGAAAACATGATATTAAAAGTGACAATTTTTGGAGTTCAAAAAACTTAAATTAAAATATTCCTACATTTTTAAAATAATGAAAGTACAATTCCTGAATTACACATTTGCTATACAACTCTGGGAAAGGTAATATGAACTCTTTATTGCAATCCAGATTCAGGTGTGGTAGCAATAAAAAATGGGAGGAGAAGCTGTCTGTGAGGATCACTATGGTAGCTATCTGAGTATGTTGCTACTGCAGCTCTGAGGCCCCAGGTAGTCTCTCATCTCTGAGGAGCAAACCCCTTAATTTTCAGGAACGAATACTCACTAACAAATGTTAAAGGAATGACATTCATTAAGATGACATCTCATAATCAATAGCTCATAGTGTTTCTCCCAGAATAAAGTTATCACAATCTTTTCATTAAGAAGGTTATTCATTATGAAAATACAACAACATTCATAAAGAACATTATTATGCAAAAATATAAATTAATATAAGGGATCAATATCACAGAAATATAATTTTTTAAATGTATAATAGCAGTGTGCGTTTTGTAATGAGAGGTTGTTACAGTTTTTATATTGAGATAATGAATAGGAATTCATAAAGAGATTGAAGTCTACCTGAAAAGGAATGCTGAGAAAAGTTTCTCCTCCACATGAAAAACATCTATGATCTGTATTTTCAAGAAAAGATACTGCTCGGGCATGAAAATCCTTTTTCTGATTATTTGGAAGAAGTTCATAAGTTGTTATTCGAAAGAGAGGTATTTTGAAATGGAGAACTTGACAAAATGCATATTTTGGAAAATCTTTGCGTAATCGATTATCTAAAAAAGGAGAGGAATGTGAAATTAACATATGATCATCAATATTTACAAATAGCACCATTGCCTTTGTATTTGTGAAGAGTAGAGCTAAGAAGTTCATGCAATTGTGTGGATTTTGTTAAAGGCCATATTTTCCTGAAACTTCAAATGTGTACGTTCCATGGCAAAATATTAAAAATAAGGTTAGCAATGTTTTGCATATTTTGCATATTTAGAATATTTAGAGCTTCTTAGCAAATAAACAAAAGTTTTTGCGATTTTTTTGACTTTTTGCTAAAAATAGCACAATAATATGAATTTTCATGTAAAATATATTTATGCATGACAAAGCATGACAAAGAGTTTCAGTCTGCTGTTGGCCAACACCACCAAAGAAACATCTGCTGTCATAGGTTGTCATTGGTTTATAAAGATGATAGAGAATTGAAGGAAAAACTTAGCAGATGCACTTGCAGTTATTCAGGAGGCAAGGGATGAATTTGTGATAGCTCCAGGTAAAATGGGGAAAACAAATAGGAAGAAAACAAATGAAGGTTTTGGAAAGAATCTAGGGCTTCCTACTTTACAGACAATGTATCTAGTAAATTCTTGGAAGAAAATAATGTTTGACTACCAGACAATGTATTGAGCACAAACATTGCCTCCCATATCATCACATGATGTTGAAATATTAATTTTTACATACAAAATTGCATGTCTGATAGGACACACTTCCTAACAACAGTTAACATTAACAAAAATCTTATGTCTTTCAGTGCTCTTAATGCAAAATAAAATATGCAGAAGTAGGTACTAATATGTTTTTAATTTGCATTTTACCTGTCTCTAGGTAGCAAAAATATGCAATGTCATTGTAAAATAGGATTTTGTGACTAAATGATGCATTTCTTCACAATTTGTGTGCATATTTCAACATTTTTGATGCATATGTGCTAGCTTATTTCTGGGCTAAAAGCTTGCATAAACGTCCCAGCATTAGGAAGAATAGGTAATGAAAAAGGGTTAAGTTTTGGTAGTCTTTGATTGAACTAATTGATATATTTATAATTATCAGTGATTCAAATTTCAGACTGGTACTCACTTAAGAATTCAGGGCAAGAACAATTAACAACTGTTTCAAAATATGTATACAAACTTGGGGTTGTTTTTATCTGATAGATATGATTCTTCACATTTCCACCGCTATCACTCAAAGCACATCCCAAAACTTGCATTTCAAATAATTGTTTGATTGCTGTAAGTTGATAACAAAGTTAATTTACTTGTGAAATTTCACTTATTTTGTGATAAAATGTTAATATTTTTGGTTCATGTATTAACCCTTGAGATGAAAAACTTAAAAACTAAATTTTTTGATCATTTTAAGGAGCTATGCCTGAAAGCATCTCATAGAAAATTGCATTTAACACTATACACTTATATTAAAATAAATCACATTTTAGATAGATTGATCTTCATAACATGAGCTAGAAAATGTTTTCTGAAAACAATTATCTCAAATGCCTTACCATGGGCTGTGAGCACAGGAGAAGGTCTGTACATCACTGCTGTTAGCACTTTACGGGAAAATACATCTCCCAAAACAGAAGCACATTTCAGAAGAAGCTGTTCATATGGCGTTAATGAGTCAAATACTGCCATGATCATTGCTATGGAAAGAAGTTATTAGAATGTGAAGATACTGCAATTTAATTCTTATTGTAAAAAAGAACAATCAAAAAACACAATCTGCCTTTGAAATGCAAAATTCCTACATCAACAGATATTTAGAGATAAAACAGGTTAATGATAGCATAATGAAAAGTAAATTTGCACCATTATTTTGAGCTAAGAAAACCAAAATATTCACAAATGAAGAGTTTGGGTATAAACGGTACCTGATGGATTGGATAATATTGATATTCTTGAATTTTCAGAAGGAAAGAGAGAAGATCTTTTTTTGTTTCAAGTGTTTTTAACTACAGGCAACAAAAAACAGATCATTTACTCATGTATTCACTCATTCAAGCAAATTATCACTGCCATTTGTTGTGTATACTTGAAATTGCTTGGAAAATACCAAAATGTATGTTCTGAATAACAAAATGGATAGTGGTGCTCATTTTGTGTAAAACCTAAGTATTTCATTGTATTACCTGTGTCGATTGAAATGTCACTGCAAGTGATAAAATATGACTGCAAGTATTGTAATTACCGTAACAGTGCAAATTATAGAACAGATAAGCATAGCAAAACGTTTCCTAGACATCACAAGAAAAAACATTCATTGTGAGATATAAAATTAATTTCCAATAATAACTCATTTTTAGTATTATATTATATTAATTTTACAATATAGCCAAAATAATGTTCTTTATTATCATTTGGGCATAATATACAAGATTAAATAAGACAATTCCATTGTAGATTTTCTTTCTACATGAAACTTTTTTGATCATATAATGATTCCCATTCTGAATTATCTCTTACAAACAGGCACACACATATTCTTGAGTATGTTAATATATACACACATCTACAAGCTCTGGACTATGTGATATTATTGATTAGGCATAAGAGGAAGAAATATTGCTGTATAAACATATATTGAATATACATTAAAAAATGTATATAATTATAAAGTGGTGAATGAAATCTTACCATCAATAGTTTGAGGAATATCATCTTCATCTATGAAGTAACGTGATTGCACAGTACATATTGGTACAGTTGAACTCTCAAACTTAATTACTTTTGACCCTTTTGGTGAAATTTGAGAAGATGTTTTCTTAGAAAGAGCCAAACTTGTTTCAAATACAGGAAGTTTAAGCTGTAATGAATATTAAAGCATGTTAATAATTCTGAGACATTTGCCATTTTACATTTAATGACCACACTCATTAATTTCTGATCTTTGACTAACTTAAGTGATAAAATTGGTATCAATGAAATAAAATTAAAAATTACCTTTGACAGCAAATTTTATAAAAGGAAAATCATATTTGTTTTGTTAATTAGCTTTATTTTACTGTTAGAATTTTGAAATTGTGTACAAAGAGAGGGGGGAGGGAGAGGGGGAGAGGAAAGAGCGATGGGATTCAAATCAATAATTTCCTCACTTATACCATACATATTGTAGTAGTTGTTTTTAATAAAGAAAGTAAAACTCATTCGAAAAAACGTGGGTTTATGAATCAAAATGAGAGAAAAAAGATTCACAAAAATCATAACAAGTTTTCTTTTACCTTCTCAAATATATAGAATACAGGATGTTACTGAATAATTGCTACAAACATCAAAGGTAGGATGTAAAGAGTCCCAAATTTTTCCCAAAGAATATGTAATGGGAAAGGTACTA